TCATCGGCCGAGTGTGTTTCTCTCGGCCGATGAGAGTGTACACTCTCAGCGGCCGAGAGTGTTTCTCTCGGCCGCTGAGGGTGTGCCATCAGCGGCCGGGAGGATTCCTCCCGGCCGTTGCGGGCCCTTTTTGGTAAGCGACACCCAAAACCCAGTGGGTTTTGGGACATCGACCCCCAACCCCTTCGGGGGTTGGCATTTTTTTTTATTAAAATTAGTGGGTTTTCGACTCCCAAACCCGCTGACGGGTTTGGAGGATCGACTCCCATTCCTCGGGGATTTCAGTGGAAATTCCGGGGGTTTCGGGGTTTCGGGGTTTGGGAGTCGATCCTCCACTTTTTGGGAGTCGATTAGCTAAGACCCTAAATAAATAACTTAGAAAGTATAGAGAAAACCATAATTATTATTGCAGATTTGGAATCTGCATACAATTTAACCTAGGGTACCTCAGCACCAAAGGTAACCTTAATTCTTACTCCTTCATCCTGTAATATACACATGAAAAATTAACAGGTCAGCTCGGAAGGCTTTCCTTCCGCTGGAAGAGGTACATGTACCTTGTCCAGCTTGGAAGCTTTCCTTCCGGTGGACACTGGTTGACGAGGATGGCCTTGTCAACCCAGAGACTTGACAGTTTCAGGTCAAGAGGGGTTCCTCTCGGCCTTGAGACCTTTTACAGTCTCAAGGCCAAGACAGATTACTCTCAGCCTTGAGCCATGTAAGGTCTCAAGGTCGGGAGGAACCCCTCCCGACCTCAAAACTCAATAACCATTTGCGGGCTGGGAGGGGTTCCTCCCAGCCCTAAAGACTTCATCTTTTTTTTCAAAGGCCTCAAGCCCCAGGGCTATCCCATAGGACCCAGGCCTGGGTCCTATGGGATAGCCCAGAAATGCATTTAAATTAGGTTATGCACACTCCCACACTCCCCTCAGAAGGGGAGTGTGGGCCCACATGCCAAAGCATATTGGTGTATGGGAGCGCACACCAACCTGCAGATTGTTGGAGTGCAGACCAATTGGAGTGCAGTCCCACACTCCCTTCAGAGAAGGGAGTTTTGGAGTGAGTGTGCGAAGGGGAGGGGGGAGTGTGATTATCATTCCCCTGAGGCCAAGCTCTGCAAGACTTGGAATCCAGACACCGCCACCTACTTGATTACGGTAGTCCTTCCTCTGAAGGAGCACTTTGTGGGATACTTGATCAATTGGCACTTCCAACTCCATGAAAGATATATTGAATCTGTGCAACACTCATACAAGAGACTGACTGGCCTGCCTCCTTTGATTGCAAATCTGAATGGCATCATCTCTCACTTTGCCCTGAAGATTGTTTACGCATCCCACATGGCCAAGGCTTGGACCACCACTTTTGCTGGCACTGGGTGGAACATGTGTTTGATTTGGAAAAGAATTGGCCACAGGAGGCTGACTGAGGGGGCTGGGAATGACAGGGGTAGATGTGGGATGGGAATACAACCTTTGAGCACGTTGTATTGCCTCTTGACGTTTAGATTGTATGTATCAGTTTGTGTGCCGACGCTGGTTGAGAATTTGGTGTTGGGAAAACCATAGCCAAGGGGGTGGTTGTCTTGCTTGCAGCACCGTCAACACAGGCTTCACAGCATCCTAATAAAACTAGTTTTCCTGGTTTCCCACACTGGGAACATTTAGAGATGGCCCTGGTGCATCCGGATATCTGGCTGCTTTTTCCAGGGAAATTGCCATCCACACCCGCTGGTGGGTATCCATTGGCCGCAGCAGGTATCCACGGATACCCGCCCTCTAAGTGGGCAGCAAGGCAGCTGGCTGGAAGGGTTTCCCTGCAAGTCGTCAAGGTACATGTACCTCGCCAGCTGGAAGTGTTTCCTACCAATCAACAAGGTACATGTACCTCGTCAACCAGAGCTGGCAAGGTACATGTACCTCGCCGGCTGGAAGGAAACCCTTCCAGCCGGCCATCTCCCCTTCTGGCCTTGGGTATCCTTTGGGATACCTGGATACCCGCCAGTGTTTTGCAGAAAAGGGGCCATCTGCACCCGCTGGCACTGGTGGGTATCCCCCAGCGGATAGCGGGTATCTGCAACAGATAGCAGGTATCTACAACGGATACCCGTTGACCATCTCTAAACCTTGACCAAAACATAGAGATGGGCGCGCCGCATCCGGATATCCGTTCGGATTCGGATATCCTCTCGCCATTTCAGCGGAATCGGACATCCGCATCCGCATCCGCATACGCTGGCGGATACCCGCTGGCGCTGACGGGTATACGCGCGGATACCCGCGGATATCCGCCCCATTTTAAGGGGGGACAGCTGTTTTTTTTTTTTTCAAACAAAAATTGAAAGAAAAAAGAAAGGGTTAGACGCCAGCTCGTCCGGGAAGAATCCCTCCCGGCGGGCTGGATTGTGTACCAGCTCGCCGGGAGGGATTCCTCCCGAGGTCGAGCTGGGATGAATACCCTCTCGTCGGGAGGGGTTTCTCCCGACGAGAGGGTGTGTACACCACTCCCGGTGAGCTGGATGTGTACCAGCTCGCCGGGAGGGATTCCTCCCGACGAGCCGGGATGAATATCCTCTCGTCGGGAGGGGTTTCTCCCGACGAGAGGGTGTGTACACCACTCCCGGCGAGCTGGATGTGTACCAGCTCGCCAGGAGGGATTCCTCCCGACGAGCCAGGATGAATAGCCTCTCGTCGGGAGGCGTCTCTTCCGACAAGAGGGTTTCTACCCCAGCTAGTCGGGAGGAATCACTCCCGGCGAGCTGGATTGTGTACCAGCTCGCCAGGAGGGATTCCTCCCGACAAGCTGGGATGAATACCCTCTTGTCGGGAGGGGTTTCTCCCGACAAGAGGCCGACAACTCAGGCCAGTACTCAAGCACCGCCTCCAATGGCAATGGTAATCAAACCAGCCGCAAGACTCACTCCCGCCCTCCCAGCCGCAACGAGACCCAACGTGACAGCTTGACCGGCAACAGCAAAGGTCCCTCTGCCGCCGGCGATCTACGCGAGCTTACCTCCAGGGCATCATCCCAGCTCATCGGGAGAAAC